AGGACACTTTGAACAGAACCTGTGCTTCTCTTAGACTTTATTTCTGGATTTAGGGGAAAGCAACAAAAAAGGGGAAATACCAACTTTCTTCACCACTGGTAAGGCTGGGTCAACATTGTGCCATTAGGAGGCACAGTGCACTGGAAAAGATTCTAGGTGGGATTAAACTCCTGGGTGTGAGGGAGGAGGGGCTTGGGTCTTGGACTCCTGCTCTGAGGGAGGGCTCTGGACTCTTGGGTCTAGGGGAAGAGGGAGCTGGGAACCCAGATTTATAATGCCTTCAGCAGTATATATTTGGGGGCTCAATTTCATGGGTCCCCGTCCCTGTAGCTAATTGGCCTGGATGGTTTGCTCAATCCAGTCAGTGAATTTGCACAGGTTGGTGTAAACGCCTGGAGTGCCGGGTTGGCCACACTGGGCTTGTCCAAAAGACACGAGTCCCTGCAGGGACCCATTGCAGACCACTGGCCCCCCAGAGTCACCCTGTTGTGGAGAGAGAGAGAGAGTCAAAATCTGAAAGACAGAGAGGCTGGAGAAAGATATGGGACTAGAGTGGAACTAAATGGAACTAAGAGACAAAGACAGAAAAAAATCTGGCAGCACACCCCTTGGAAGTTTTGTTGCAGAGCCCTGACCCCACCTAATTCTGCTCCCCTGTGTCCTGTGTCCTAACAGCTGGCTGCTTCTCTTGGGTTTGCTGTTGGTTTGTCTCTCCTTCTTTGTCTCCCTTTATGGCTTGTTTCTCTGCCTCAGTGTCTCTGTGTGTCTTTGCATCTCTTTGCATATTCTGGATTTTTCCTAGTTTTCTTTGTGTTTCATCTCCGATAGTCTGTATATGTCTGTGTTTCTCTGGGTATATTTCTATGCGTGTGTGTCTCTGCCTCCCTGTGTCTCTCTCTGTTTCTGCTTCTCTCTTCCTTTTCTTCTCTTTATTCCCGTATCTATTTCTGTTTCTCCCAGTCTTTCTCTCCCCCTGTAACTCTCTCCCTGTGCCTGTCCATGTCTCGGTCACCCTCTTCTCTGTCTCGCCCTGCACCACCTCCCATGCCTGCCCCGTCTCTCACGTTGCAGGAGTCCTTTCGGTCCTGCCCTCCGCCAGCGCAGAACATGCTGGGATGGTATATGGGGGCGTAGTGATCATCGCAGTCCTCCTCCGACACCACTGAGACATTCACGCATTGGAGCACTGTGGGTAGTGCGCCTGGGACACAGAGGTCGGGGTCAGGCCCTCTGGCCGGGCAGAGAACCCCTCAAAGAGGGCGAGGCACCCTCACGAGCTCACCGTCCGCCAGCAGACCCCAGCCAGAGATGAGGCAAGAATCCCCAGCGGTCGGGCACTGGGAGCTGATGCTGATGTTCCGGATGGTGTCAGACTTGGGCACTGACTCGTTCAGCCTGATGAGCATGAGGTCGTTGGCGAGAAGGGGCTTGTTGTACTCCGGGTGCTGTATGGAGAGGGTGGCCTCCATCACCCGGCTGCCTGGCTCTTGGTTGGCCTCAAGACTGTGCAGGCCCAGCCCGACGGTGAAGGATCTGAGGGCCACGGGGAACAGGTCGGTTATGTGGCAGCGACGTCGTCACCTCCAGCCTCATCCTCAACCCCAAGCTCATCTCATTCCCTCACCCCAATTGCACCCTCCTCGCTGAGCACCGCGCCAAGAGTGACTTAGCAGCGGTCTCAAATCCTCATTCACAAACAGGGACAAGAACTCGCCTTAGTTCACTCAGCAGCTGAGCCGGGATTTCAATCCAGGGCTCCCTGAGTCTTCACAAAGCAATGGCTCCCACCTCCCTCACCCTCCCCTGTGGACTCCTCTGTCCGGGCTCAGTTCCTTCCTCCCCGCAGAGCCTCTACCGCTGTGTCTCCCTGAGCACCCCCAGGCTGAGCCCGGCATGAGGCCCCTCCCCTGAGCTCAGGTGGACCCCAGGTCCCCCCTGCCCTGCACTCACTTCTGGAGACAGTGGGCGGCTGACAGCACCCACCGAGGGTGCACCAGGACGCCCGCGCAGAAGAACTCGCTCTCCGTGAACAGCGCGGCCTGCCAGGGCTGCGAGTGCGGGTGGCAGTCCTCGCCGTTCACGATGCTGCCGCCGCCCGCAGAGACCGAGGTGACGGCTCCTGAGGGCGGAGTCAGGGCTGGGGCCGGGCTTAGGAGGCGGGCCCGGGGCTCCTGGGGGTGGGGTCGTGGTGCAGGGGCGTGGTCAGGGCTTCAGGGGCGAAGTCAGCGCTCACAGGGGGGCGGGGAGGTCCGTGGGGCGGGTTAAGGCTTAGGGGGCTGATTTATGGCTCGGAGCCGGGATCAGGGCACGGGGGGCAGGGTCCCTTGTCAGGAGAATTTCAGCTTTAAGTCTCAGATGCATCTTGGAGACGCACGTACTATTTCTCTCTCTCACACACAAGCACCGTGCCAGGCACAGTCCCCAGCACAGGTGGAACGACCCCCTCATACAGGCGGGCGGAGGAAGGGCAGACACAGCCTGGCGTGGCGCACGGAGTCGCGCCTTCCCCAGCCCAGCCTCGCCCACTGTCACATCCAGCCACGAAACGGGTCCGAGGTTTCCAGCAATGGATGACTCCCACGGAAGCACAATCTCCCATTTATGGGACCCTCGACTTTCCCTGTCCCCACACCATTGTCACTCTGCTGAATATTCAGAGGAACAAACTGCCAGTGTTTTTCACCCAAGAGCACACCGACTTTCACAGGTACAACCACACAGGCTGTCACACTGTCATGCACAAATTCAACGCGATAGGAGAATTACACGTGCTATGAGAAGTCCACAGGGGAGCGACCCCATACTGTCACACACACAGGTTTACAGTCACAGACAGGAGGACACTGAGTCATGCCTGAACGTTAACAAACACTGTGCCCTCAGGGGCACACACACACACTCAGGTACCTGTGACACCGAGGATGAGGTACCCCAGGAACCAGCCCCAAGGGTTTCCTGCTGTGGCCGTCATGTCAGCACCTGGGGACAAGGACTGGGACTCAGGCGAGTCTGGTGACCTTTAGCCTGACCAAATCTTTTCATCGTTCTCTTCCTCCCTCCTGATGTTATTGGGCAGGCAAGAGACTTTTCCATCCACCCCGACCGCCACCTCAGGGACCCAGAACCTAGAGAGACAGAGAGATTTAGAGACAGAAAAATCAGATGAAAAAGAGAGAAAAAAATTAGGTGGAGAGGAAAGCATAGAGGAAACTTCTAGCCATGTATGAACAGGGACAGATGGAAGACACAAAGCCCTAGAGACAGAGCATTTGAGATACACAGAGACAGGCTGGGAAGCAGAGACACGAAGAGAGAGATTCAGAGAGCCAGGGAGAAAACTGGAGATACACTCCTGAGTGAGAGATCTATTCAGAGACAAAAGGTCTGGAGGCTGAGGATGACAGTGACTTGTAGCTGTGGGAAGGGTCAGATCACAAAGACTGCAGGCTTTTAGGTGGGGACATCTTACCTGGTCACCTCTGGGCTCCTGGATTCTGCCAGTGGGCTGAGCTCCCGTGGGGCTTTTAAGCATCCTCAACCTGGCCTGGCCTGCCCCCCAGGGGACACATTCCCGAGGTCAGGCGCTGCAAGCGTCTAGCTCAGGCTGCTTGGATACCAGGCTGTGGTCAGGGGGCCAGAGGGTGTGGGACAGGGAGCCCAGGGAGGACACCACTGCCCCAGACCCGATGCTGTATCCTCCCCTTTCTTTCTTGATCCTCTCTCACCTTCCTCTCTCTCTCTCTCTCTCTTTTCTCTCGTTCTCTCACTAAATCTCAATTCTCTAATTCTCTTGCATCCCTCTCTCTCATTTTCTCTTTGTTGTGTTCTTTCTCTCATTCTCTCTCTCGTTCTGCCTCTCATTTTCTCTCACTCTCTCTGTTTTCTATCATGTTCTTTCTCTTATTCTCTGTCTCTCTTGCCCCCCTCCCATCCTTTCTCCACCCTCCATCCTTCTTTCCACCTTTCTGTGCTTCTCTAGCAAACTTTCCAGGATTCAGATCCGGTCTGCCTCATGTGCTACTTTTGGAACCTTGGGTAGGTGACTGCACCCCTGTGAGCCTCTGTTTTCCCATCCGTAAAATCAGGGTAACCATTGCTCCTCACTTCTGGAGTGGACTCAAAGGGAAAATGCATCGAAAGTGCCTTGACTTGGTATCAGGTGCATAGCAGGCTCCCAGCTATAGCGAGCAGGAGCGTGGTGCAGCCTCCGCTCAGTAAAGAGCGACTGGACAGCTCCACCTCCTCCACCTCCGAGCGCTGCCGCAGCTGCTGCAGACACGCCAGGAAGGAGCCAAGTTTCTGCTCGCATCGGGCTTGAAGAAAAATTACAGGGACCAGCAAATAAGTGGCGGTCGGGGAGTCTCAGAGGAGGGGGCGTTTAAGCTGAGAGCCACGTGATGGGAATGAGGAGCCGGTCCTGGCAGGTGAGCAGTGCAGGAAAAGGAGAGAAGGTGGCGTGTGTGTGCGCGGGGCCGAGCGAGCAGGCTCCTGTGGCTCCGGGAGGGCGGGTGACAGGCGTTTAAATGCCAGGGTTAGGGAATGTGGATTTTAAGTGCAATGCGTTTTAAGCACGAGGGTAGGGGGAATGACATGATCTTATTTACTTAAAAAAAAAAAAAGAGACTTTTAGCTTGGAGAATGATCATCGGGGGTGAGGTGGAAACAGGGAGACCATCGTGGAGGTCGGAGGTGACAAAGTCCCACGTGAGAGATGACGTGGCCCATGGTCCAGGGAGAAGAAAAAGAGGTGGACCCGGGGTTCATTTTGCAGGTGGAGCCAAAGTGCTGACTGATGGACGGGAATCGGGGGTGGGGTGGAGGAGGGAGAAGGGCAAGGGGAGCCAGGGATGACACGGAGGCCGGGTCCCCGCGCTGGGAGCAGAGGTGTGGGGGCAGGGCTGGGCAAGGGTGGGGGAGTGCGGCTGCAGAGGTGCAGGCAGAGGTCGGGGCTGGCGGGAAGCAGGGCGCAGTCATCGGGGAGAGGTGGTGTTTAGAGCCACGAGGCCGGATGAGATCACCTAAGGAGTAGGTGGGGACCGCAGAGAGGAGGGGTGACAGCTGCGGACGACGATGGCCCAGCGTGAACGCCGCTGTGTGCCTCTGTCCCTCTCTCTCCCTGGCTCTATCTGTACCTTTCACTCTCTCTGTCTCCGCCACTGTCTCTGTAGCTCTATGCCTGTGTCACTCCCCTTCCCTCTGTCTGTTCATCTTTATTTCTGTCTCCATCTGTCTGTCAAAGACCCCTGCCCTGTTTTGGGACAAGCAGCTTTGACCATGAGGATAGACGAGGCTGGGAGGAGGGTGGGTCAGGGGGTGCCGGTTGGGCTCAGGTCACAGCCACCGAGCATGACTAGGGTTGGGATGGCGAGAGGTCGTGGAGGGGGCAGTGCTGGGGGACAGGGCTGGGGCAGCTAAAGGAGGGGAGAAGGGGGTGAACAGTGCGGGGGTCATCTTTCTGTCTCTGTTCTACAGCCCCTGCCTGTGTTCTGTCCTGCCCGAGGTCAGGCAGAGGTGACCCAGAGTTGTTTGGGGATGGGCCCAGGACAATGTCAGGGCTGAGAGTCGTGCTGTGGGGGTGCTTCCAGTCTGGCAGGTGGGAACAGTTTGGAGTCTGATCCCCAGATGGGGTCCATGGGTCAGAATCTGAGCTCGGGTGGGGGATATGGAAAGGCAGGGATGATGAGAGAC